GTGGACGAGCCGAATTCGAGCACCTTTGTTCCACTGTAAATATCAATATTGCATATAGTGTAAATAGTGTTCAATTTACAAAGAATCATCAAAATATGGAGTTACAGACCGCTATTTCGATGATATGGCATTGGAAGTCAGAGGCTCTTGCATTGGCAAATTCATGGCTTTACAAGGGCATCTGGGTTGGCTCATTGCATTTTACCCTCTTTCAATTTCTAGTGCTGAGGTTTACGTCTTCTCTTCCCATCTCTCTGGTCTCCGGGATTATTTTGTTCGCCCTTGCCCACGGCACGAGGCCCGTTTCCCCAGACGTCAATCTCTGCCGGTTGTCAAGGTGGCTAAAGATATTTGAATCTTAGTTTCTGACTCCGGCGAAAAATCGGGTATCGCCATGCCTGACAGACTATTTTCGGGAGGCAGTGGTGCATTTCCTGGACGAGATACCGGAAGACTACACATGCCTGCCGCGAGTGCAGCATTGACTTCATTGAGATTATCGCTCAGGAACAGCCAACGTGAAGGCTCGATATCCGGATGAGTAGATAGAATCGCTGCGTAACTACTCGCCTCTGTCTTGGGACCAGCATTGACGGTGTCAAACCAGCCGGTTATGAAGTGAGACAGGTCTGACGGCTGAGCAGTCGTGTGTGCAAAGAACAGCTTCTGCGCTGGAACGGATCCTGAGGAGTAGATCATTACCTTCTTACCAGCACTATGAGCCTCAGATATAAAGAGAGCCACGTCAGGGAAGACAGGGGCCTTGAGTTCTCCTGAATCATACCCTGCCTGCCACAAGAGGCCCTGAAGAGCTTTTAAATAGGGAGCTTTGATATCTGCCGCCACTAGGTCCCGGACATGACTTTCCAAGGCCAAACGGTCATTGCGGTATTCTTCAGGAAATGCATCTCGGTATTGCGCGAACGCACTATCATGCCAGTGAAGGTCAAGATATTGTGGAAGTGCTCTTAGTGCATAGGGAAACTGGAGTTTGAACAGGTTTCAGCGCCTGGACTCAACTCAATAGTGTCTGATCTGCGTTGGGAAGGCATAGGGGCGAAGTGGAAACGAAGCAGACTCTTACCAGGACGTCATGAACAAATGTTATGGGACAGACAGTTCCCTCTGATGTGAATGGTATTAGTATGTTGTGTACATTGCAGTAGGCACCGGCACATGTGGCCAGGGACGTCAGGGAACGACTTGCTTACCTATGTCCAGCACGATAACGCTGAAACCGGCAAAGCTTCTAGCGAGCATGGCTATTTGGCCAATCCAAATAAAGCTTTCAAAAATGTACCATGGATATGTACCGGAAGTCCCAAATAGATGTGCCTGTGACGAGATACTGACTGTTGAGCAGCCCGCCACCAAGACTGATTGGAGTGTCCTCGATTTGCGGTTGCAGGAGGGAGGGGGCCGATGCAAACAGAAGGACCGAAAATGGATCTTTGGATGCTGGCCTTTCCTGCAGTCTTGCGCACGCCGTATCTCAATCAACCTGGTTTGTTTCCGTGTTCGCCGTCAAATGTTCGCAGTCTGTCGTCCCAGAACGACGGGATGAAAACGGGAGTGGTGGACCCTCAGGTGCTAGCTTCCTAAAGCGAGCGTTGAGCAGTACCCAGGTGCCAGGTACTCAGGCTGGGCGGGCGGATGTGGATTACACTGTCGACAAGTAGTCAAATGGTTTCTGACTACTTAGTACTTAAGTACTTTAGGCTTAGGTCATTAGACAGGAGTTGAGAACAGAGAGGCGGTCAAGGCCCAACCTCCCGCCTGCAATGGACCAGACAGGTTATGAAGCTATAGTTGTGCATACTATCAATTGATGAACCCAACACGCTCAGTAGCCACCTAGGTACTTGGTTTTTTGGTTCACGGGATATAAAAACTCTTCAGGGAGTGAGTAGTGGATGTCCTCTTCATTTCAAAAATCTTACCCCCTTGTTCCAGCGACACTTGACGGTTCCTCTATACACCAGTCGACAGCATCCATCATGAAATTCAACTTGCCTCTATCTGTTGTAGCCAAAAGCTCTGACTGAAAGTGTGCCCCTTCAGTTGCGTCGAGACAACTTAGCTTATACAGTGGTATTGAAGCAACTTGGATATATACCTACCTAGGTAGATATATACATAATGGTATCCAGGGGAGGCGCAGGCACCAGGTAAAGCAATTCCTCAAGAAATAATTATTGCGTCCTTTGGCGGGAGCACCAAGTTGCTTACTTGGACCACGGACACAACACTTCCTCTGGCACCGAGCAACAGATAACCATTACTGGTGCCACGCGTTGTTGACAATTTTTCGGGTTGATCCCAGGGCCGGAGTACGTACACGTCGTGACCAGTACTAGGTACTAGTACTACTGGTCAGTCGAGCAGACTTTGACGCTTGAGCTTGTTTGTTCCCGTGCGGTGGGCGTGTTTCGTGACCGCATTAGGCATGATACTACAAAATCTGCAGGAGACACGGGGAACGTATGTTATGGTGACTTTGAAATTGAGTAATGAACCTCAGAACATGACGCAGAAGAGTACCTTTGAGGCTTGTCCTGTGCGGTCGGCGGTGTAGGCACACCATCATGTCTGCATGCATTGGCCAGGGGGCATCCCAGGTGCCGAGGCCTGCACGGAGGACAGACAAGCTTGCGCAGGCTTGATGAAGGGTCATCATCATTGGCTCAGGGGGGCTGCGATCTGCCCCGGTTGGGCCTTAACACCAGTACATAAGTACATGCTAGTGCCCTGTGAGAGAATGGGGCTCACAGTACACTGTGTTGTGGTCACGCTGGCTGGGCTGTCATTTTGTACTAAGTAGGATGCGGGGCCCATGTCAATAGCTAACCAATCAACCAATAGCCTACGTGGCATCATTTGTTTATTGGCGCTTCCAAGACAGCATTGCTGCACCGTGCAAAAACAGTGAACGGCCGGAACTCTACTATCCTTCAGGTGCTCTGTACTCCGTACAGGCAGACCACGGAGTTCGTTTTCAGAGGAACCATTCAAAGAACTGGAAGTTACGGAGTACACAAGGGTGATAACGGTGCCGCCCGTACCATGTTCCAGTTGGGTAATGGATTATCCCGCCATCACCCTCCTGGTCTCCAAAATGCCAGCTTAATGCAGAACGATTCGAACTCGAACTTGCATATTGGCATCCTTGCATGGTCTGAATCTTGCTCGCGGCTAGGCAGTGAAGTCCTCCCTCGATAGTATCAAGGTAACACAGTGTGAGCTTCGAACAACATGTGTTCGATCCGATGCTCAGCCGTTCCCCAACGAACCATGAATGACGGATCCCCCGTTGCCACCAACGGACCAGGTCCTATCCCCTCCATCTATTTGGCTACCAGAGCAGCCCAGTGCGAAGCCGGTGTGTTGACAACGGCGTTACGAGGTGCGACACCGCCATGAATGACCAATCGTCCTGGGATGGCGCCCACCCCGGATCCACGCATGTCGTGGCCTGTTCTCGACAGCCACCAGATGAGGTGGATTGGACTGGATTGCTTGGTCCGTTGCCCGTCGTACCGCCATTCCCTCCATTCATGTCCACAGCGCTCACGCTCACGCTCTCGTCCCCCGTCTTCGTCCCCCCGATTCCCTCCCGCCCAGTGACACACGCCCCTCCCCTTCCAGCTTCCACTTCGTTCCATCTCATCCCACCCTCTTCCCATCACCGCCATTCCCTTCCACCTCCTTCTTGCCTTTCGTCACCTTCCGCCCTTTATTACCATCTCCTAACCGTCTCATCTCCTTTCTTCTCCGCTCTCCTTACCTTCGTCACGACCTCACTTCCTGCCGACCTACTTCAAGGCAAGGCCTTCTTTCTCTGGACAGTGCGCCTCCTCGACCTGCCAGGCATCCAACGTCAACTAGGTCTCCCGTGACTCATCAACGGCCTCACGTTGCCTGTGCACGCTACTCCTTCGACCGCCTCCAGTCCTCAACTTGACCGACATCCCTTGTCGTCATTCACTTTCGAGAGAAAGAAGGGCTTCTGTACCTGCTAACGTCGTCTTATCATCTCACCGTAGCACCCGACACTTGTTACACCGAGTTTGATCAAGAACCTTGACGATCTCGGCAACTTGCGAAGCCTGTATTGTCACTTTGCCTTCCGCCCGGTGTCCACCTTGCCGACCAATTCTTTGCCATCGTCTTTGCCTATCTGATCGCAGCCACCCCTCGCCCTCAACGGGCATTGAAGCACTGCATCCTGCAAGCATTGGGTCGTTGGGGTCTCTCCCCGTACGACACGTATAGTGCAAGACCTTGGAAACAGAGTCGCCCCCGCCCTCATAGCGATCACGACCACAATAATATTGTAGTGACCTCACAATCATCTTGAGCGAGCTATTAGCCCCGTCCACGAATTCGCAACTCTTTTGGCCCGAAAAGCTTGTCAGCGATATTTCCCGGTCGCTACAACACGGTTTCGCCTTGTGAATACCTTGACAGCACCACGTTAGCCGTCAAAGTCGTTCTGCCTCACTGCCAGGCCGCATTCTTTATTTCTGGTTTCATCAACAACACGATCCTCCATGTCATTATAACGATTTTCTCGCTTGTTTCTTGTCCAAGTTCGAGCCGTTCGGCTCCTACCGCTTCTTCGCTACAACGATTTGATAATACGCATTTCTTTTGTCCTCACATCTTACATACTTGCAAATGAGCCGTTGATTCAACTACGCGAACACTCAAATCCATTATTGCTTGCAACTGTTTGCACTACTTGTACATTTTCTACATTCGTCTTTCCCCCACTCACCATACACTGTTTCTCGAACAAGTTCTTCACCTTCGACTGGGCCCTTCATTGTGTACACGCAACCTAAAAGAAAACTGGCTTCTTTCTTGACGTCTACCGAAGATTGTATCTGCCTCACTGGAGCTAGTACAAACCGAACATATCAACAAAGCTCACTTGTACAACTTACACAGCTTGTGTCACGACGCGTTGCTTTTTCTTGCGAGGGTGTTTTCTTTCATTTCATCAAAGTTTCAAAAAATTTCTGTTCGCCTCAACAGCATGGAGTGTCTTAGGGACAGGTTCGTCGGTGGTGTTCTTCTCGATGGTCGCTATGAGACAATTTCACCGCTCAATCACGGGTCATTTGGCATGGTCTTCATGGCCCGGGATTTGATGACGAGCCAAACTGTGGCCATCAAATGCTTGACCAAAAAGGCTGCCCCATGCGAAGCTGGTCTAGAGTTTGCTGTTGATGACAAGTCTGAAGAACTGGCTCTCCACAGCAATCTCGGATCTCATGAAAACATTGTCAATTTGCTCCACTCATTTGAGACGGACGCCCACGTTTACCTTGTCATGGAGTTTTGTTCTCAGGGCGACTTGTACGAAGCGATCAGGAACGGGCATGGGCCTCTACAGACGGAGCATGTTCGACAGTTCATGTTGCAGCTTGTTGATGCCGTCACGTACATTCACTCAAAGGGTGTATATCACCGCGACATCAAACCTGAAAACATCTTCCTCACCCAGGATGGTGCAGTGAAGCTCGGTGACTTCGGTCTTGCAACTAAAGATAAATGGTCGTACGAGATGACTGTTGGTAGCGATCGCTACATGGCCCCGGAGCAATTCGACTCTGCCGGCGCAGGATACTCCCCTGCTGAGGCAGACATATGGGCCATTGGCATTTGTTTGCTTAACATTCTGTTCTCACGCAACCCCTTCACTACACCAACCGAAGCGGATCCACTCTTCTTGGACTTTTCTCGCGACAAGCAGAGCCTTTTCGACGTATTTCCGGCTATGTCACAGGACACGTACGAGGTCATTGTCCATTGCATGAATTTGGACCCCAGAAGACGATCGTTGGAAGGCGCCCGTGACGCTCTTCTCCGCGTAGTGAGCTTCACTACTGAGGATGAGTCATTGGACGACTTCTGCGGAGCAGAGAAGACAACGGTTGCGTCTGCCAACCGTGAGCCTCTTCGTACTCCATCTATCCAGAGTCCTCATGTTGATAGCCATACTGGTGCTTTCCCGTGGGCAAGGGCTCTTCACGACAGCCCGCACCGTCAGACTCGACAGCTGAGTGCCATCCCTGACAATGAGAGTTACACTGAAGACTTGTTTTCCAAGTCTGGTGAGACTATTGATTGGTGCTCGGCTAGCATCCAGACTCCGTCTATGTCGTCTATGCTAGGTTCGCAGTTGGATGTGTCAATGAGATCACTTGCCATCAACAAGCCTTCTCGCCCCAACGTGTCCCCAGCTGCTGGGTCGATGCCAATCACAATGGCGAAGCCCCTTGCCTTATCCATGTCGACCGTGTTTGGCCGTCGAAAAGATGCTGTCTCCAAAAGCTGGAGTGACATGTGGGATGAGGACGAGGAAGAACATGAAGAACAAATGAAAGATCTTCAGGAGTTGAACTCTAGGACTTGGAGCCATGAGAGTAGGGCCGAGGTGAAGAAGGTTGACAACCAGGACTCTCCTCCCGCCTCGCACGTTACCATTAAAGGGAATGTGGATGATGACCTGGTTGCGGATGGGTTCTTTTTCCAGGACTCTCCTGCAGTCAAACTGGTGTCAACCACGCCACGATACTCTCCTCCATCTAAACGATTCAACTACGATAAATGGGCTGCATTGGGTGAGCGTCGGAGGGGTCAAGTCTGCAGTATGGAAATGGAAAAGTCGCCTGGCTTGAAGCCGCGACGTCAATTTGGTTTTGGATATAAATCTTATGAAGCCGGCGTTTGGGATCATTCAACATATAACAACAATAACAACAACACCACTATGAGTAAGAATTGGGGCAGAGATCGAACTAAAGAATGCCCTTGGAATAAGGGAAGAGATTGGAACTGGCGCCGAGATCACAAGCGCAATGATCTCGGGGATGTTGAGTGGGTTGGTGGTTGGTAGGGGACTTGTTCTCTTCAGCTGTCAATCGTAGTCATGGTCACCTGCATTTTAGTCGTCAACTTGGCTTCTTTCAAAGTCACTTGATGCCACGTCAATTGCACACTGCACCAGTAAGGACTGGTGAAGCCGTTCCATTGCTCATGGAATGCTTCTTCGGACTTTCAGGACATTGAAACTGGGCAATTGCGACTAGGAGTACGCAATGTGAGCCTTGTCTCGCTTTCTGAGTATCGAATCGCTCGAAAATTTAGTTATGATAATACCAGAAGTTACCCACTCAAATTTGACTTGGACTTCCTGTGACAATCAAACCTAGCTTTTGAAAAACCATGTGGTTGCCCGGAGCACCAGCAACAATATTGCCTGTGGGGCATTTGTTCCAGGCAGACTGGTAGAGGTAGGTAATACTATTAATGTGCAGTCCGACGGCCGTGTATAACATAACATGCGAAGACCAATGATCGATCATTCAATGATTGAGGAGATCTCAGATAACACATTGCATGGTATTCTTCTGGTCTACCCTAGGTGCCCACGAGCTGTTTAGGCAAGAATGTCCAAATTGTGCCAACTAATCCAAAAATGGAGAAGATAATCAGTAAGATCCAAGATGCAATACGTTCCCACTTGGCGATGTCCTTTGAATACAGTTTTAAGTAAAAGCAAATCGGCAAGATGACTGAGATAAGCGTGCAGAGTGCAGCGCCGAGGAAAGCACAGACGGAGTCAAACGCTGGAAATAGGACAGAAATAGCCAAGAGGATCAGAACAACTAGGACCCGGACGCCTGCTCTCAGTATATTTGCGAGTGTCGATAACTGAGCGTCCGATCCCGAACGATGATGGTGAGGATTGTGATGGTCTCTGTGAAGACCACAAACCACATCAGCCGTTGTGATTAGAGGTCTCGCATTTAATGGAATTTTCGTCAGGGGTATTATTGTTATGAAAATACACATCAGTATGGTTAAAAATTCGGGATAGCCATGTGTTTTGAGGATATTTGATGTGATTGCTTCCTTTATGCCATCGCCAAACATGAGAACACCAACAATGGCTAGGCAAGTGTCGAGGACGTACTAAAGCATGAGCAAGGTTAGAAAATAATCATAGTGCGAACTCGATGAAAAGATGATAAATGATGGAGCGAGTTAGAGGGAGGAGGTTGGTCGTACAGAGAACGAAAAAGTGACGTTGACGCCCTTGCTCCATTTATGAGGATGCCTCATATCTCGGTAGATCTATCGACGTTGTGTAAGTCAAGCGACTTTGGAGATTCATGCATTAGTGAGCGGCTGCAAGTCTTACAGAGGGGAAGACGGAATGGGCACCCCATGGGCTGGCCATGAGCCCGTACGCGAGAGGAAGGGAAAGCCAGTTGGAGGGTAGGAGATAAGTTCTTGCTGGCTCCCATAAGGTTCCCGGAGTATGTTGCTTCACTAGGCCGTCAACTATTACAATGCAAACAACTATAACGTTAAATTAGAAGAGCATTCTAGAACAAGACAGGATGCCCCCCCCCCCCTTTTAACACCCTGGCCATACACGGGAAGTAGAACGGTAAATGTGTGATGGAAAGGGGGTGTCTTACTGCAAAATGTAGAAAAAATGCCAACAACACTGGTGTAACTGAGCCATCGCAAAGGGAGCATATTTAAAACCAGAATGAGAGCAGCACAAACGCACTTCCAAACGGTTGTGTTGGCCACAGTGGGCATCAAAAGATCTAGAGAGTCAGCAAAAAGTATGACTAGGGCTACACAGGCTGCAAGAAGCTCCAGAGTAAACAGTGCTGATACAATGACTCGAGCCCGGGCTCCAAAGGCAACATAGGCCAAATCTGAGTACGTTATTATGCTGGGGTCGTACTCCATGCATTTGCCAATCAACTTTCCCGTATGGGAGGTAACGGCAGCAGTAAGTGTCAAAATGAACAATCCAAGTATCCACCCACTCATCTTGAATGCCAACGGCAAGCTCAGTAAGCCGACCCCGATGATTGCATTGATGGAGTTAAAAATCGATTGCGGGAGGGTGCTCTGGCCATCGACGGTCAAAACCACTCTGTCACCTTGCTTTATCTCCTTGACTAGTATAGGCTGTTCCTCGCCGAGGGCAACGTCATCACCATAGTCGCCTCCACGATCACCGCGCACTCCCCAAGCGCTCTCATAGCTTGCGGAGGACCGCGATCTGTATCTGCGGGCACCCATGGTGCCATACTGTGAGCCATAGCTTCCAATGAGCGACGGCGTCGTCAGGTGTGGGGGTACGGCGAAGATGTTGGATCGTATCGACGGCGACCCATCATGGAGAGCACCCGATGCCATCTCAGTATCCAATGCTTTGCGTTCTCGTTCCCGGAAGTCTTCTTGTGGGATACCTCCAGCAGGTCCCACGCCAATGCCAGAGTCGGGAATAGTCTGGACTGAAGCGGAATCCTGGGGCATTGATGCTTCCAGGTGTTGTCTAAGCAATCCCGCCTGTGGTGGAGGTTGGCTGTCAACGTGGCTGCGGCTGTATTGGATTTCATCGCCACTTGATACCGGAACGGTTTCTGCTTCGGCGGGAAGAATAAAACTTGGGCGGCGAGGGATAACTTCCGCGAAAGACGCGGCACGCTGCCAACTCCTGGCGAAGGATCTGAAGCTATTCACTCCCCCTATGTCTGCCATTGCCGCGAGCCGGGTTGTCACAGAGGACCTAGTGAGGTGAAGACAAGGCTGGGAGTTAGTCATGGAGTTTTGCGCCAAGACAATGGGATTCTAAGGAGGGGGAAGGTTGAATCCAGATCGACGCACCTCCTGCGGTCGTGGTGGGCAACTGGCGGCTGAGTGCAGTCTCCATCGCTGTCGAGCAAAGAAGCTTCTTCGTCTATAACGCTTGACCATAGGCTTCCCGAGGGGGAAGCCCGTCCCTCGTATTCGTCCCACGAGGTGGGATTTCTCAGCGTTGGGACCATGACTTCTGTGAGAGGCGGCAAGTGTGAGACGCTACAGTCGGAACACTAAACAGCGCTTGGATTGAACGAGGATGATGCCGACGGCGACAAAGACGAAGAAGGTGAGAGAGCAAGAAGGAGGGGAGGAAGAGGAGAAGGGTGAGGAGCGGAGCTAAATTGGCGAGGTCCAATATCGTCCAGCAACCCCAAGGCCGAGCTGTAGCTAACTAGTTTGAATATTCTTGAGTAGTCATGGCTCAGCATCGAGGCCAACTGCGGGGTCTAGGGTCAAGAGTCCAGGGACTGGGGACTAGGGACCAGAGGTTGATATCAAGGAAGTGGTTTGGTGGTGTCAATTGATGATAAGGTTCCATGTTGGTGAGGGCAGGTGGATACCCAGTTGCCAGGTAGTCACCTAGTACTAGCTACCAGTACCTAGGTAATTCTTCGTTAGTGCCATGGGTACTCCGTACCTACTCGTGTAATACCTACCTACCTAGGTAGGTAATGCAGCTGCATGCACAATCGCTCAAATGAGCGTCACCGGTCCACTTTTAACGAGGAAGCCGGACATTTTCACGATGCGCGATTCAAGTCACCTAGATTCAGCTGACTTCTGGAGGTGGGGGAGGGCCAAGCAATCAGCACCCGCGTACTGGCTGTCTTGGATATTCGATCGTGTGACTCTGGACCTTGGATTGGAGAACCAAGATACCCACTTGTACCACTCAATTTAGTACCTACAACCAAGTAGGCATGCACGTTTAAGTAGGGTAGTCAATTCATTGTATTCGACTGATAATAAAATGTGGCGCTGCGACCTAGCCATTACATCAGTGCGTGACCCACACTGCACAGTTCAAAAAAACCAAGTTACACATAATGCAACCTCTTCCTAGTAGTATCTGGGGCTCAACGTCGTCTCTCTGTTCTTCCAACATTCCTTGGATCATGGGGTTATGTGTCCCACGTCGCCATTGACCAAACGTGCAACAAGAACCAAGAGGATATCTGGTTGTGGAACCTAATCCATCATCATCAGCATCCATCTACGTGGAGAGCTCTCTCTACCTCCGCCAACGAGAGACAAAGGCAGCTTATCCGCAATGAGCGGCCAGCCCAAACTCTCTGTTTGGCGATGAGCCGTGATTGACATAATGACTTATCAGAACCAGTCCTCCGAGCCTCAGCAATTACGCAAACCACCCTACTCAGCACCCGCATACCCTGGACGACCTCAAGCTACCAACCATCCTCACGCACGAACGACGCTCAATACCATCCTGCCGCTCCTAGACGCATTCAACCATCGTCACCACAACCAGCACCGCACCTCCCACTGGTGGGCGACATTTGGAATACTTCGTCGCTCCCTCCGGGCCCTCGCCGAGTGTTTGGACCAACCAGTCGTGGACAGCAGTCGCAATCGCACCGACCAGGCCGTCGTCCGGGCCTCATGGCTGAATACACATGCCCTGCCACGTGCTTTTCTGTGAGTTTGGTCTCCATCACCCCCCTCAGGCGCTCCAACTGACCGCCAAGATGTAGTGCGTTCAGTCAACTTGCTGCGGACAATCAGCATGCCCCGTTGGGCCTATTTCTGCTGACCGTGCTTAGCCAGGTCCATGGTTTCTTGCCAGCCATGTTGCCGCAGAACGCAGGAGCGGCCAAAGCAAAGCTACCCACCCAAAAGTCTCCAAATCCTCCATCGCCGAATCATCGATCCGTTATTGGCACTGAACACATAGACCGGGGTGTGGTAGTTTCCAGAGAGACTATAGTACAAGCAGGCGACGATGCCGTGGACTCCCAGTCTAAGAAGCGTAGCCGAGACGAGATCAAGTCACATGCCAGGGGAACATCCAACAAGGACAGGGAGAAAGACAAGAAGCCCAAAAAAAAGAAGAAGAAAGCCGGTGACGAATTGTCTAGTTTATTTGACTCCCTGTCATAGTTTAGTTTGGCTTTGTCCTGTTCCAATTAACGATATCGCATCAGACCTAGCAAAACATACCAAATACACAAAATTTCAAGTAATAACAGGAGTTATAATAAAGTAGAGGCAAAAATATAGAAAAAGCTACCTGCAAATTACCGACACACGATCCCTAAAGCCGTACAAAGTCTTTTGCGTCTTTGTCTTTTCTGCCTGTGCGCCATCCTCAGTGATTTCCCCAACGACTCTCAACAAGCACTGTAGTAACTTCCCGCTCCGAGTATCAATCGTCTACTCCTTTCTCCAACTAGCCAGAAATCCTGGGCTCCCTTCCCGTACTGTCCAGGATCGAGACATGTGGATCCGTGCCGCACTAGACTGGCCATTAAAATGGACGATATGACCAGATTCGCGCCTTCATATCGCCGGATCCTGTAGCAAAGTAGGCACCCTGGGGGCTTGGAGCTACTGAAATCACAGAGTTTTTATGCCCCTGCAACATCAGCTGTGTGGTACCAGTGCGAGGGTCCCAAAACTGGACACCTCGATCCTTCGATCCTGACAACACCCAGTTGGCATCAGGTGTCAAAGCAACCGATAGAACAAAGTCGCGATGGCCCTCAAATGTCTTAACACACTTTCCACCTTTGGGGGCGGCACTTTGCCCCCCACGTGCGGAACTAAGCTCCCACATCTTGATCGTTCGGTCCAAACTGCCACTGACAAGATCTTTTCCATTCGGTGAAAACGCCACCGAGTAGACAGAGTCCTTATGCCCGTCAGGGCCTTCCAAACGCTCAACCAAGAACCCGGAGTGAATGTCCCAAACACGAACACTCTTATCCAGGGATCCAGCAGCAACGTACTGCGTGTCTGGGGAGATGGCGACGGTCGTGACCCCATCTTCAATGGTCAAGGTCAATGTATTGGTACCTTGCTCGATATCCCACAGCCTGACTGTTCGGTCGCCGCTGCCAGATGCAATCGTCCGGCCGTCGCGTGCAAAATCGAGTGAATAAATATCTTGCTCATGACCAGAGAAATGGTTGCGAATAGTTCGAGATTGAATGTCCCAAACCTAAATTTGCGTAGATTAGTCTCCCTTCCATCCAAATAATATGAAGAGGAGAGCATTGGCTTCCTCGGACGGTGGGTGTTTGCGGGATGATCAACTTACTCGAATCAGCTTATCTTCAGCGCCGGTGGCCAGGTAGCGGCCGTCAGGGCTGAAGCACACACTTCTGATATACAGATCGGCGGTCATATCTTGAGCATTGTGATCCTCCAGCACGCACACCTTCTCACCAGTTTGGACGTCAAAGATCTGAGCAGATCTGTTGCAGCCGGTGGCCACATATTTACCATCATGGCTGAACCTTACACAGCACACCACACTCTCATGGGTGAGCGAGTGGACAAGGTCCACGTCCAAGACTCGCTGGACAGCCGGGTTGAAGATGGCATACCAATCACTGCCCGTCTTTTTGTTGTGTGGCGCGACAGCGTCGACTTCGAGGTCACCCAATGCATTGCCAACAGGAGGAGCTCGAGGACCGCCCATGCGAGCGTGATCGGGCGTTGGATGGCTAACCTGAGGTGATTGTGCATTGCCTGGATACGGGACAGGAGTATTGATTTGGGGTGTGGCAGGCCCAACGGCATTAGGTGGCCGGCCAACTCCGCGTCGTCCTGGCCCTGGTGAAGCGGTGCTCTGAGGCGGTTGAGGGCCCATTCCGTTGGAGACGGGTCCCTGAGGATAGCCTTGCTGGTAGGGTGGCTGTTGCGCATTAGGATGCGGCGGAGGAACAGGAAGTCCCGGAGGTCCTTGGCCCATTTGATGCTGAGGTCCCATCTGCTGCTCTTGCGGAGGAGCATGCGGTTGCTGCTGTGGAGGTGCCAGTCCAGCTTGGTTCCCGCCAGCCATTATGCCACTGAAAAGGCCGTTTCCGGGAGCAATTGACGGGGGTTGCTGAGAAGGGCCGGGATGCTGAGGAGGACCGGGCATGCCAGGCTGAGGGCCACCCTTGCGCGCGTTTTCAAGTTGATGACGAAGCATGCTGATTTCTTCCTCATATCTAGAGGGCAAAAGTTTAGAACACGGCATAAATACAAAGAGGGGAGCAAGCGTACTTTTGCTTGAGGGTCATATGTGTCTGCTCCATTGCATACACCTTTTCCCTGACCAGCTGCATCTCGCTGACTTGAGCGGAAACTGTTGGTGCGTGCCACCGGGTCAGTCAACCATCATCTGAAATTGCGTCGCAAACAAGACTAGAGTGAAATGTTGACATACTCTGGTGCTCAAAACCTTCGGTCTGGCGAAGCTGGGTTTCAAATTCGGCCCTGATTTGGTCGAGGAGTTCGTTGAGGCGCGCCGAGTTGCCAGGGGGAACAGCCCCCATACCCCGATGAGAGTACATAGACATGTTCAGCGCTTCGGTCAGCGAACGGTGATGTCGCGATGCCACCGGGGATCTATATTATATATATGCGCTATGTGCTGAAAGGCGTGGCGTTGTCGAGGTTGCAGTGCGATTGTGGCCAGCGGTGCGCTCAATTTTCGAATTCAGCAGTCGGAACGATGAGGCTGGCGCGCCAACAACGCCGAGAACTGGCAGTGGGGCTCACTGGATGGGTGTACGGGTGGTGGTCAACAAGCGGCCGACTGCGGAATGAAACTGCGCGGGAGGCAGGATGTATGTCCCGTGATGCCAGTCGTGTTGTCGCGGCGATGGACGATGAGCGATGGGTGATGGCGACGAGGAGGAAGCAGAGTTAAGATGTTTGTCGGGCGGTGGAGACAGTGGCAAGTGGGAAGGGGGGAAGGGGGGGAAAAGGTCAAGAGGAAAGGTCGACTAATGGAGGAAGCAAAGCGCCGCCGGGGATGATGGGATTAGTGGAGAGTTGGAAGCGAGACTAACAGCTGGTGCTGTTTCTGTGGGCTGCAAGGCCAGCGGGCGGCGGGCCACTTGCATGGGGCGTGGTCTGTGGCGCATGGGGCGCTGAGACCCAGACGCGGCCGGGTGGTGGGCGCATGGGTTGAGAGGACACCAGGGCATGGACGTGCATGCAGCAGGGGCCGGTGATGCGTCTGGTGCTTTAGCGCGTGCGTCTTAACTTGGAAGCACCAGCCTGACATGTGTTGATATGCGCTTGAGCCGGGCAGGAGTATGAGACTGCTTTACTTGTGTGCTTTGCTTGCAATGTTGCTCCTAAGCACTGGAGTCCAAGCCGGCTGATATGGTCTGGGGGCAGAATTGGAAAGGACATGGGCAATGCTTTGAAATGTCAGAATAGTATAACAGGGGCATGTGGTGGAAATATGTACGGCGCATCCAATGTTGAGTTGCCTCTAGACATCATGTAATATGTCAAGTACCTACCTACGGAGTTACTACCTAGGTCAAATAGTAATAGGCAACAGGCATAGCGGCGGCCTGGGGGCTGGGGCCTGGGGCCTTTGCTCCATGTTCGTGAGCCCGTCAATCGGACAGGGCAGCCAATATAATAATTGATCGCACATGTATCGCTGCAGCCTGGGCGTGTGGACATCCGAACATCTGAATCTAATTGAGGCGGCCCCCGAGGATCCTTCAGTCAATCCTTTGCCTACCAGGGCAGAGGGCCACAAGGCATTGAACAAGCATCCATGTCTTGGACATTGAAGGTTGAAGAGAACAACCCCAGATGGGGGGGGGGGCGTGGCTGCCAAATTTTTAGCATGCAAAACGCCTCCCCGCTGAGCCTCCGGTAACATGAATTTGTTGCTCGGTGTCTGGTGGCGCCGTCGATTCAAGGTTTCAATGTCATGTTGGGGGTGGCTCAAGTCCCGCTGCTAGTCGGCAGTAGTACTCCGTACTACGTTTTGCACAGGTTGCGGGCTTTGCGGCGAGCCTACGGAGTAGTGTACATACAATATATTGTACAAATGGGGGCGAGAAAATCGGATTCCTTGGCTGCAGCTGGCATCAGGCTCAAGTAGGTAGGCTGGCAACCAGACGCACCCAAGCTTATCGAAAGAAGGGAGCACGGATGCTCGAAGCATGCCTTGTATCGAGTACTATACCAATTTTTCTGAGAATGACACGAATTAAGACGAGGCATGTTAGCAAAAGGCACGAGTCAAGTTGCGTACAGTAGCGCTTAATGGATTTCTACTAACCGCCATAGGATCCCAAGAACAGAAGAACCAGCTGTCTACTCCGCAGTGAAAGTACCACCAGACAGTTCGAAACCGCGAGCTCCATCTGCTGTTGCAGATTCAGCTGGCTATGCCGAGTGAATGAATGGCTGGTTGGTATGGTATGCATATATGCATGTATGCGCTTCCTCACTGCACCCCCGTGTTTGCCATGCTTGGATGTCGTAGAGTTGAACATGCAATACGTATGAACTATTGGTGGTTCAAAAATGTTTCTCGCTGCTCATTTCCTTTGTTGTGCGTCGTTTTCGTGGGCTCGGCGCTTGCTGACATCAATGTGCCCTGTGCGCCCTGGTTCAATGTTCAGTGTTCCGTCTTATCCCTGCTCTCTTGGCCCGCCCCAGTCATCCTAGTCCCGCACGCCGCTGGCTGCACGCCGCACGCACGCACGCTTCACGGCCAAGAGGTCTGGCGGGTCTGGTCTGTTGGTCTCATTCGGGCTGCAATTCTGATGTGCTCGGAACAATTGAGCCATCACTCACTCAAGTTGGCTAACTTGTGCTCCGTAGGCGTCATGTGCCAGGTGAGCCGAAGACGATGCCGGCCCGTAGCAGTAGCTCCTTGTATCGTGTACTGTCCGCCACGCGCGGAAGAAGGGCTCTTCAACTCCGTAATGTCTGGTGTCTGGTGTCTGGTGTCTGCGCTGCAGGCAGAGGCCAAAACCGCCTGTGAGCCGGTCGCCGACCTCAAAATGGTTCACCCTGTGACGCTGACTCTGGCATGATACCGGCAATGTGTCCCTACAAGCAAACAGGCATACGTAAAGTATGTACATACACACAACATACCTAAGTACATACAGTATATGGGCATGGGCTAACCAGCATTCTCGCATATTCCCCCGATTTTCTCGGCGCGGCAGGCGTGAGCATCTCCTTACCGAGTACCGAGTGCCTACTAGGTACAGTACCTACCTAGGTACCTAGGTACTTAGGTACTTTAGGCAGGTGGCGCTGGGGTAGGCCATGGAACAACACCAGACAGCATTGAATAAATTGATCACACTTTCCCCAAATTAGAATCAAATGGTCAACTGGTGGTCTGGTGCTGGATCGGGGTGCTGGGTTAGGCCTGGCCCGACCCACCGCCATCCGCTTCTGCAACAACCAACACAAACTGGTTGAAAGCAATTGTCGAGTCTTGTAACGTCGGTGCTGTTATGTTAGTACTTGCCTGACGGACTGAAGTTTGAGCGAGTGCTTTTAAGTTGCCCGACTGCCCGCGCACCAGGCAAGTATCACACTGCAACATGTACATACTTTACATAGTACACACATGTACAGAGTGAAGGGGTGGGGCGTTGCTGGTCTGGTAGATGCAGCTGCATGTGGCAGTATTACCTTCAAATGTCCGGTAGTTCAAAATGCCACGCTTACTAGACCAAGGTAGTTAGAATTAGTTAGAGACGGTGACTGGGCCAACACCTCGATTGATGATCCCGGTGTGGATTTGGGCTGGTTGTCCACTGAGCACGCTTGTATTCTTTCTTCTTTTTGTCCCTTGCCTTTTTTGCCTCCGTGTTGGCTATTTAGATACCTAGGTAGGCACAATTGGCTATCTACTTGATACTTGAAACACTCGGGGTACGGAAGATTCAGAGTGCCCCGATTCTAGAAATACCTTACATTCATGAGACGTAGCCATTCACATACACTCAGGAATGGCGCCAAGAGCACTCGTCCTGTGGCACCACACATGCGAGATCGTCATGCCGCTGGTGGTGAGATGGATGCGCACACACACATTGTGTCCGGTGTGCTTTCTTCATTTCGAAGCCGTCCTACGCTATACACACCCTGGTCAGGACCTTCAACATCACCTCGTGTGTCATCCACCCAAAGTCGTGGCTGGCAAGTCTTGTCTCAGTCAGTCAGTCAGCGGCCACGGACTCCCAACTCACACACCCCGGACCCGTGAATCTGTCTGAAAAGCTGATCATCCCGTCGATCCCGCCGTCCTGTCTCGTCTCACCGAGCTGGGCAGCACAGGAACGCTTCCCTACCGTAGCAGCTGCGCCTCCCAGACTGCATGAGCTGTCGGTGTGAGGATGAGGATGCGTGCACGGTGCTTTATTCTGTGGGCTGCTCCGGCTTGCCAAGGCGCCAGTTTCTGGCATCTCTCTGCCGAACCGGGTGCGATACGACGGTTGTAAGCGTGCATGGCATCGGATGAAGTGTCTAACGCTGCAGACGTTGTCAAACACCAGGATTATGTCACTCCCCATCTTGGTAGACAACTGGTTTGTTAAGGCCATGGAGTGCTTCGGCATAATGCAGATCATGTAATCTGCTGCGACATGTGACTTGTGGCTCTCATCTTACGGCCTGCATCTACATAGAGTTGTACGGATGTCCCACCGCGGCCGTGCTTTCACGTCGCAAGTCGTGGAGTAAAGACGAACCCCTGGAAAGGCGGTATTGCGGCATTGGTGTGTTCTGGTTGTTTCAGTCTTCAGGTTGCACGTGGACAACAACCTACCCTATCGAACTGACGTGGCCCAGGTGCTTCGTTTGGTAGATCCCCTGACCGCGATGTCTACAAGACCGGGTTTCAAGATTCCGGGTTGTTTCCCAGGGGCGGCATGTGTAATCGACCAATGTTTCCTGTATGAGCACACCGAGGCATCGGATATTGACAGAGCCAAGACCGGCCACGAAAAGCTCGGTGCGAGTGATGATTTGTACGGCTAAACAGCATAGCATGAAACGTCATGTCTGGCAAGTGTGTCTGTTCCCCACCCGTTCAAGTGTTACCCTGATCCAGGTGTCGTCAAGGGATGCAACGGAAACGAGCTGCTCGGCGACAATGGCAATCTCCGACATAATCACCCAAAGTTTGCAGGCGCTATGTATGTACAATGTAATGGGTAAAAGGGGCGTATTTGCAGATAAGATATGGGACAGTGCTGTAAAGGCTGGGCGGTAGACACCGGTTGATAGCCGGCAACGTTCAAAACGAGCAGTCTAGCGGCTCCCTTGCCTAGCTGCCTGGCAGACTAGGCATCAAATTGTTTATCAATCAGCACCAATGTTATCATCACCAGGCCTCATTGCGACCCCTTCTCAGGGAAGTCCCTGCCGAAAGCGGGGCCCATCGCATGGCTGGCACGATAACTATAAGTACACGCCACTAATCCTACCTACTTGAATACTTAAGTACTTTCAATGTTCGCGTTACCCCGTACAGCTTGTCTTTTTTCTTCAAGGGGGGAGGAGGAGCGCACAATGCTCATAGAGTCTGGTGCCAGTGACCATGCATGGAGAATACTACACCTCACCTGTGTATGCTCATGTACTAGGCATATAACAATGTCTGATTGTAGATGCAGTAGATTAAGCTTACGTTTAATAATGATGATACTACTTGGTTAGCCTCAGCATAACGCTGTGATTTGGTGCATTCAGCTAACAGTGTCCATGAAATTGCATCATTGATGTAAATCTACTAGCTTGACCTACCTGCATACTAGTATTAGGTACTTGTACTTTACGTATCGGACCTGGAGCGCTCCGATGTCCTCATCATGCCACTCTCTCAAGCCGGAACTCTGCCTGCCCGAAGCGCTTCAGGGCCCATCAACCCAGGGCGACCAATCGAGCACGCCAAGTAACTTGCGCACTATGCGGGTTGTTTGACTACTCCAGCAATTGACCAGAACTGCTGCAAGTGACGATGGCAGAGCCAGGGGCCCACGGTCTATTGTGAACCCTACAAGTGATCGGTACGGTCTTGCAGACCTCTGGCATGATTTCACTTCTTTTTCACCGTATCGACATGGCGATTGCGTCTAATGCCATGGTTTGATATCTGGTGGGATGCCTTTGAGGCAGCCATACATATTGTTGTATTAAAAGGCGATTAGACCTAGAGCGACAGCGAGCCGGCTCATTGGATAATAAAATAATTCAACTACCTACATCTAAGTACGGAGTACCTACGTTAGGTACTTACTTTATGTAAAGGGATTGACTGGACCGTCCCCTGGCAGCAACGTCTCGTCGGCACTGTGCCAGGCCCCGTTTTTTCGCATCGGTGTCTAAACTCCGAGGAAGCGCTTTTTTCTTTGGGCCAACTGGTCGGGGAATTGGCCCACCTGAAGGGTTGGCAGCATTTGTATGCAATAAAAGTTCCAGGTGTCGCCCCCGTTGGCAGTGCACTGTCGATTCAAGGTCAACACCACACACACCACACATGCATACTTCGTTCATGTGCATTCTGTGTGACCACGACTAACGTCCTCTTGCTGTCAACACTAACAGCTCGGCTTGAAGATACCGCTGCACGGAGACCAGATATCCTCTTTGCAAACCCCTACATCAAATCAACCCACCCTAAGATCCAAACAACTTCAATCCGTCGCTGCCATGGATATCGTGTTGGAACTCACGGATACCTTTATTGCCGACTACGCCTACGCGTATTTGTATCCATTTCGGCCGGACCTCTACGACTTTCCCCATGCGAATACTGCGAATTCTTCTACCCATACATTCTCGTCATGGACTTATAAGCCTGCCACCCAGTTCTTGCAAGTTCAGCCGTCTCGGGCTGCATACATGAGCTCCTTGACTCGCGAAAACCCCTATCGTCAACTAGCTACACTCTTCTTTATTACATGGTACGACTTGCATCTCCTTCCCTGGGCCTTCTTCCTGCAAGCATGCTCTTGAATTATGCGCTCTTGTCCACAAGCTAACGTGATCTTCCGTGTCGCAGGTTTTTCGGCATTCTGGTGTACTTCATATTTGCCACCCTATCTTACTATTTGATCTTCGACAAGCGTACTCTGAACCATCCGAAATTTATAAAAAATCAAATTTGGCTCGAGATCAAACAGGCCAACAAGTCGATGCCGTTTATGGCTGTCTGCACTGCACCCCTATTCTTGCTTGAGGTCCGAGGCTTCGGCAATCTTTATGACACGACGGAGGAGGGACCTGGAATGTGGTACAACATCCTACAGTTTCCCCTATTCTTGCTCTTTACCGACTTTTGCATTTACTGGATCCATCGGTATCTTCACCATCCGTTAATTTACAAGCATCTGCACAAGCCTCACCACAAGTGGATTATGCCTACGCCGTATGCTAGTCATGCTTTCCACCCTCTGGACGGATTTGCCCAATCGCTCCCATACCACATCTTTCCATTCATTTTCCCCCTCCAGAAAGTCGCTTATGTTTTCCTGTTTGTCTTCGTCAACTTTTGGTCTATTCTCATTCACGATGGCGAATATCTCACCAACAATCCTATCGTTAACGGTGCCGCCTGCCACTCTCTGCATCACTCTCGCTTCGAGGTCAACTATGGGCAGTTCTTTACTGCCTTTGACCGTCTTGGTGGTACCTACCGCATGCCCGAAGCTTGGATGTTTGAAAAGGAGAGGAAGATGTCAGAGAAGCAGTGGAAGAAAGAGTCCAAGACTGTAGATGAATTTGTCAAGGAAATTGAGGGCGACGACGAGCGTACATACGGCCCCGCCGAAGAGGAAGCCAAGAAGACCAAATGAAGAGCAAAGGTCATGACTTTTGGTTCATGCATTCCGCAGCTACCTCTCTTATTCTGCTGTTGATCTCCACATACAGTCTCTCCGTACTGCTGCAAATCTAGCCACGAGAGTGGTACAACAAAGGAATGAATACGACAGAGAAAGACACAAGGGGAACAGTTCGAACTGTACATATTTTGTATTCACAAGCATAGATATCGACCAACCATGGTGTTAATGCGGAGGCTTGCGGCGGCGTTTGAAACAAGGTTTCTGGATTTTCTTTGAATGACAATGTATATTCCTATAGCTCAAGATGAACAAACTCAGCGGCAAATGCCCTCATAATAATCCTAATATGCATACCTTAACTCCCTGCGTACCCGTCCCAAATACTCGAATAACTAAGGAAATCGGTCTGTACAAAGATAGAATTGATTGGAAAGACAGGAAACAAGGCATGAGGCTTTCTGAGACTGAGGTGGAAGAATACATGTATGACTAGGAAGCCAGGAAAAGGAGAAGTCAAAAAGAGCGGAAACAGCCGTGCAGAGAGACAAGAAGAAGGGCAAGGAGAGCGAAGGGGCGAGAGAAGCTCAGAGCGGCACATGGGCAGCCTTTATTAAAAAAATTTAGCCTCGATTGGCCTGGAATTGCTCATCACGTAGACGAGCACTGAGAAGAAGTCGACTTCGATTGACTTGTTGGAGCCGACCACGGATGATCAGGAAAAGCTGACAAACTTGGGATCTCTAGGTCGTCCGTCGGGACCAATGCCGTTTGCTTTGAACCGGTTCTCCATGTAGGCCTTTCGAGCCTGGTCAAACGTCATCCTCCTCTTCTTCATCAGTTTCAGAATTTCGGCCTTGCTTGCATCGTCAAGCCCGGCACGACCATCTCCTGATTCTAGGTTGCCAGTGAGATCAAAGTTACTGCTTGAAAGGCCGGCTTCAATATCGCCTGCAAAGGTGCCAGGCAGCCGGGAGTAGATGTAGTCTGCGCCAGGCAGACGGATTTCGGGGACCAAATGCCGCCAATGCGATCGTGTAAGGAAAAGCGCAGTGGCTACCACAAGGGAGAGGACAGAGACACTGAAAAGAATGTATAGCATGGTGCGGGCACCGGCAACTAATGCGCCGACAATTTCTAATTTTAGGGATATTGCGAGTGATGTCGAAACGACGATGCTGCTGGCTGCGGCGTTGCGGACGACTCGGAGCAAGCAAAACGACCTGATGGGGGCAAAGGCGTTGTCTTGACTGCACGGCTCTTCTTAAGCGTGGTAGGGATGTGGTGATCTTGCCATGACAGGCGCATATACGCCGCCTTGTGATGTTTCTCAAGGCGAGGACGCACTGGCAGTGTATTCGGAAGAGGCACACGTATGTGTCGACGTTTACCGTGGCGGATGGTCGTCGGAGTTTTGCCCAAGTGGGCGGACTCGGACTAGGCACCTGACGAAAATCCGGCTGGCTGGCTCAGTTTCTTCTTGGTTTGCAGCTCTCAGTGCTTCATACAAATCCGGCTTCAGCTCATCTCCACCTGAAAGCTCTCACATCATGGCCAAGGCTGTGCTATGTGCTACCAGCCACAACTCCGCCACATACAAAAGCGGGACACATTCAACACACTAAACCGTACTGCGGCAGTTAAGCGAGCCCACACATTAAGAATACCTCACCAATTTCGAGGCAAGCAGAGACTGAGAGTTCTGAGATACCCTGTTACGTCGTCGCAAACCACCGAACCGTCATAATGGCTACCCTTCCGCTTTCCAACATGTCCTCGGACCTGGTCTGGGAGATTGTTCGTGAGTCTTGCCAATACATTTCACTTGAAAGCCGTGGAAGCATCAGACGTGGTTAACATTTTGGGTTTTCTAGGCAACAACAACTGCTTCCTGTCCAAGAGCAACCGCAATGGCGGCGTCCAGTTTTCCCACGACCCCTTGAACCTTACCAACAAGAACACCCGAAAGGTATACATCTGATGGCGGATGCTGAGACGAGGAGGCTGCTTCGTTTTGAAGTCTGACAGCTAACATGTTTGGGAGTAGCACGCTGGTTTCGTCAACGACAAGGTACATTCCACTCGCAATTCAAATTACGGCATATAACATGCAAAAAGAGATCCTTGAGTTGGGGCGAATACTAATATCGGACGTTGGTAGGCTGTTGGTATCATCCCCAACGAGAAGGGCGGCGTTACTGTCATCAGCAAGAAGACCACTGATGCCACCAAGCCCGCCAAGGCTTTCATCAAGACCACCCACGGCGCCAACAAGTCCAGCCGAAAGTGAGTTTTCAACCCAATCAACTGACGGAATGCGTCGGAGCGCTCTTTCTAGAATCGTGGGAACTTACTGAGTATCAAAACAGGACCTACAAGGCCGTTGCCAACCTGACTGCCAAGTCTGGCTACCGCAGCGATCTCCGCTCTGCCGCCGTTGAGCGTGTTTCCGCTATCCGCCGAGCCCAGCGCCCCGTCAAGCCCGAGCCTGAGCCCAAGCTCCGAGGAAACAAGGCTAAGAAGGCTGAGGAGTCATCTTAGGTCTGGGAAGGAAGAAATCGTGATACAGTAACTGGCGTGAGGCTGTGAGAAACCTCATGGAGGTCTTGGTAGTTTCATGATACGTAGAATGGCAGAGAGATGTTCGTGCTCGGGGTGTAAAAAAGACATCTGACGGACTCCCTTTGTCAAACGGCCCGAAACAGGCGTTTTGAACTGGAAAACTAACATACTTGTCCATATATAGTGACCAACGCCCACCGAGGCTAGGGAAATGGAAAAGTTACATGTACTTTCAAACAAAAACGCACCTTGCTGTGTTGTTGCTACTAGTGGTGTGTAATACGACATACTGCTGGATTTACGCAAAAGGCCGTGCGGATGACTGAGGCGCCAAACAATAGAAACTGGTGACGCGAGTTGAACATAGACCTGGCCATTTAGAGCAGTAGCCCACGTGAAGCATGATCAGATATCAAGATGGCCCTCCTTTGGCTGTGGCCGTGAGACTGACGTTATGTCAAAGACTCTTGCGGCATGAGAAAATATAAATTGCTGAGCAGACGGCCCGTGACGTAAGTTGTCCTTGGCTTTAATGATTTGGTTTCACGGCTCTGGGCAAGTTGAGCAGCGACCAGCCATTGCTGGTATGACTTATGAATCATGGCTCCAAGTTACCAACTACTTTAGCTGACTAGCGAATATCAATGAATAATAAATAAGTAAATAAACATGGCTCAAGGATACGGCGACGAAAGCCAGTCCGGAAAAGGACGCCAGGGGCTCGTCAGGATCCAGATAGGCAAGGCGCTAGGATAGCCCTGTGCTGGGTCATGCTCCCTTCACAAGCTATTAATACACTAAGCATCCAAGTCTGTGTGGCCGCTGGTCGGGTCATGGCGGCGGCTCGAGGAGACTCCCAACATTGAACGGACCAGGCCTGGGAGGCGGCACTGGCAGGCGGGCGGGTCCATGCTCGGAACGTAGTCTGGTCTGGTCGAGTCAATACTACGGAGCAGGTAGTACTAGTACTAGTACTCCGTAGTATTAGTGCATGTAGGCTGCAGGTGCTACGGCAGGTCAGACATTGATGTCTGGTGGTGTTTGGTGGCCACGCCAGCATTCCATCCCGGCTCGGCCGCTGTCTTATTAGTCCCGGGTTTCCCTTCACAATTGTCCATCTCTACGTCGACTCCTTTCTCCAACAATTATCAAGCCGAGCTGGGGAACTGCAAGACCACACGGCCCAAGTCTCTGGGTTACCTACTGTCGGCTCTGTTGGCATCGACAAACCGTTCTAACGGACGAATTGCGCACTCGCTGCCTCGTCATTGCGCTCTCCGTTGACGTCCTTCACCTCGCCCGCCACGATGGCTTCCAAGATGGCCTGGTCCAAGAGCACCCGTATCAAGGTCATGATTGCTATTGACACGGCCTTTTTCTTGCTCGAACTGATTTGTGGCTTCCTTGCCCATTCGCTGGCATTAACTGCTGATGCTTTCCACATGGTATGCGGTCGAACCCGGTGCCATCCTCATCCTTCCTTGCTGACAAGCGCCACAGCTCAACGACATCATCTCCCTTGCCATCGGATTGTGGGCTGTTGTTGCGGCCCAGAAAGCAACGACCGACGAATTCACCTTCGGAGTACGTATATATGTCTTAGCTTTACACTTGCAAATCAAAGTTACGAGTATTTTATGCTAATTACGCGACCTTCCAGTGGGTTCGCGCTGAAATCCTAGGTGCCTTCTTCAACGCCGTCTTCCTCATCGCACTCTGCGTCTCCATCATCCTCGAAGCTCTGACTCGATTCGTTGAACCCCCCGAGATTAACCAACCCAAGCTTATTCTCATTGTTGGATGTGCTGGCCTGGTCTCCAACTTGCTCGGTTTTGTTGTGCTTGGTGGTCACGGTCACTCCCACGGCGACGAAGAGGATGGCCACGACCACGACCATGACCATGGTCACCATGACCACGAACATAGCCACGTGGAGGAGAACAGGCCCTCGGATGACCTTCGTAGCGCCGTCGCCGACGAAGGCGGCGTAGTAGGTGACGTGCTCCCAGAAGTCATTGCGCAGCGAGCCGTTGAAAGTCCCGAGACTGCTCGCCGTATCCGATTCGGAGATGACACTGCCGCCCGAGATGATTCAACCAGCCAAAGTCGCGCAACCCCCCAGGCAAGAGGACGTGGTAGACGTCGCTCTAGCAAGTCTGGACACTCTCGCTTTCACAGCATCGAAGACATGAGTATCCATCCTGCCAGCTTCCGCCAAGATATTATTGCCGCCAGCCTTGCCGCTTCTTCTGGGGCTGGTATTGTTGCCGATAGTGACACAAGTGAAGACGCTCCCATCGGCGACTTGGAAGCCGATGTCAACGAAGAATCACCACTGCTCGTAGGCGATGGAAAGGGTAATAATGGAACCATCAACCATTCTCACTCACATTCACACTCTGCATCCCACAAGCGACCCCGCCGAGACTCAAGTGTCCATGACGGCCACAACCACACGCTGCCGAGAAAGGCCGGAGCCAAGGCCAGCGGTCACAACCATGCTGACATGGGTATGAATGCCATGATGCTACACGTTCTTGGTGATGCACTGGGTAATGTTGGCGTAATTATCACGGCCCTCGTCATTTGGCTCACCGACTGGCCCGGCAAACTGTACTGCGATCCCGCCGTGTCACTCCTCATTACTGCAATTATCCTCAAAACTTCGATCCCCTTGACTCGCGCCACCGCAAGAGTCCTTCTCCAGGCTACCCCTGAGAATATCTGCATCCAGGATATTCGCCAAGACATCGAAGGACTTCCCGGCGTTGTCAGCTGCCACCACATTCACGTATGGCAATTGTCAGACACAAAGGTTGTGGCCAGCATGCACTTGCAAGTTGCTTTCCCTATCAACGAACACAGCGGCGAGAAATACATGCAGCTCGCCAAGAGAGCCAGGAAGTGTCTCCATGGCTACGGCATCCATAGTGCTACCATACAGCCTGAATTCTGCCTAGATCAACAACACCGACACGCAGGTGATGCCGCGGCTCTACGAATGGACGGCGGTTTAGACGGAACTGGCGAGAATGCATGCCTTCTGGATTGTATTGACGACTGCAGAGGGCAAGGTTGCTGTCCCAGCGGTGATGCTTCGTCCAAGGCATCATCGACACGCCGCGGCAGCGACTCAATACATGGTGGTGACGGGCATTAATATCAAAGAACCACAGACTAATACACGGCCCAAAGCGTTCGTTTTAAAGAAATTGCTATTCATGTATCCAAAAGGATTAAGTACTAAAACTAAATATAGGCGATTGTTTTTTTTTTTTTCCATCAGGCTTTATATCTAATGACACCCAGGAATATAGAGCAACAATATTGGCATAATACGGTTCGCGTACAGATATGCCGTTGTGCAACATGATGAGGTTTGGCAAGACACGGCAGAAAGAAAGGTGAGGTGTGACGAGGCGGAAGTGCAGGCGAGCTGAGATGGAATGTGTGGTCCGAGTTCGGGAAATAGAGTGAGTGATGTGGCGAGACTCCGCGAGAGTCATCAAATAGCGCATGTTCATGCGGCAACAAGAAACTACTAGCAGTTTGCTCCTTCCAAATGTGGAATGTTCTTTGACGTGGAGCTGCCGACTCGCCAACTCGCATCACCTTGCATCGTGTCGCACCATCCGAAGTTGATTGCTCACGAGATCAAACACGGGCCATCCGCACCCCGTAGAAGCGGCAGAGCACGCTGGCATGGTTTCAACGTTTTGAGAGCGGTCGATGCTGCTCCCATTCCCTCGGAGCCGCAGTCTTTTGTTGCCGAAACTCCAAGCCACCGATCATCAGAGTCCGGAAACCGGGGGGGCTTGACAGGGCTTGTTTGGTTTCCCTCGCTGAATGGGTTGGGCCCACTCACAAGGCTCTGCAAGCCCTGAACGCCATGACGCGAAGGCACCGGACGGGGCTTGGAAGAAGTTTGCCTGCTGCAAGTGCCACGCGATAAGCTGGTTTGCCAAGCATTGGCCACTGGGCTTTAGTGGCATCACGAAACGCAGCATATCTATACAGCTTATGCGGTCATGTTGGGATACCCCGTACATTCGAGCCAGCCTGTTGATTGCTTGGGCGGCTAGGACGAGTCAACAAGTGTCGGGGTGAAATTTTTTCTTTTACGTGCGGCGTGCGACGCTCGAGATCTGCCGTCTGCCCTGTGCTGGTTTAAGTGACAACAGGGCTAGCCTGCATCGACGCCACGGCAAACAATGTCAAATTGGCTTGCAAGCTAGTAATACTAATTCTATCAGAGAACGAGCTCAAGTCTCAATTGGTGCTGGCTTCCCGCCATCACACAACGTCGCCGGTTGGCCGTCACACAACTTGCAGCCGAAGAACCTGGGGTTCGAGCGAAAGGAGTGCTGCGCGTATGTACATATGTATGCACGCAGTAGGATTCGGGGAAAGTGAAGCGGCCTACGGAGTAGTACTCCATTTGCATGTCAGACGCTGATGATGTTTTTCGGGACGATGTGGTTGTGTTCCCGTGTTGCGTGTTTGGCTGGCCTGCAAGACATGGCCGACCAGCCGTCCAATCAGGCCATCTTTGCCGAGCGGTTCTAAGTAAAAGTACATGGTAACCGAAAATTGGCAATCGGAAGTGTTGTTCAGGCCGAGCGCTGCTGACATTGCGTAATTAAGCAGCCACGGGTCAGCCCTGTCATGTCAGCCGGCCAAGCGACATTGACGGAATGGGCCTGGCATTACTCCGTACTCCGTAGATAAATTGCCCAGCATTACGCTACGCAGCTCGCCCTTTGCAGGGGGTGACATTTTGAAGGGATATGTACGTACTACACACATGTGCATGTAGTACTTGGCTTGTGTAGATCACTCGCATTCTGGCCGTGCTCTGTAAGCCAAATATTAGCGTTGTACTAGAACGCGGTGTTAGCTTGACAAGGGAAAACATTGAAGGGCAGACTGAAATTGGTGTGGGTGCCGTTGATGTCAATCCCGTCCGAGATGACTGCATA